ATTACTAATTACTAATTACTATTACCACTACTAGTTACTATTTACTATTTACTAATTACTAATTACTAGTTACTAATTACTATTACTACTACTATTACCACTACTATTACTACACTACTACTATTGCTATTTGTATTACTTTTGCCGTTGCTGTGACGATTACTGCTCCTATTACTCTTTCTAGCACTACGGACCCGGCCGAAGATTTGTTCTTGCCACTCCCAACCCACTGACCAGCCCAAGAGACCCTTCGACAAGTTAACCCTCGCGATAACCCCCCTTTGCCACAAGGGGGGTTATTTATCCGACCCCAACCAACATTAGTACATTGACACTCGCACCACTACGAACCAAGTTGTTAAGGAAATTGCACCTCCGGCAGAAGAGTGTGGCTGTCCAGTCGCCCGGTGTGACAGGGGAGGGTTTGTATATCGTGCCGCGCTGCTCGGCCCGCCACCCCGTGGCATGCCCCGAAAAGTCTGAAGTTCACTGTCACCCCCGCTCACCCCGCTGTGGGCGTTTTTTTCTGCGTCGTTCCCTTACGGGTTCGGCGTCATGATGTGGGATCTACGGCTTTGGTACGAGGCTTCGCCGTTGCTTGGGATTTGGGGTTAGAGTCTCTAGAGTTTAGGGCTTAGGTTACCGTCATTTTCATCTGGTGCGAAAAGCAGCCAGGGGGTCTGCAGGGCAGGGGGGATGGCGGGGGGGGACGGCGTCGCGGGACCATAAGGCAAATGTTGGATAAGGTTAATACTTTTGGAGTCGTTTGCTCGAGAGGTAGCACAGCCCACAGACTGGATCATGCTCGTCTTACTGCTCTATTTGCCCCAAGGCGTGGAGTGTTATCCAGAACACCAGCTGTTTCAGCATGGAAACCATGACTTTTTGCCAATATTGCTTGTGGGGTCCTGACAGTCATGTTTCTCACAAGTCTGTTCACAGCACATTCCCTTCTCCTTGAGGCCTCCCAAGCCCGGTTCCGCAGCCCACAAACACCAACCCTAATAGACCCCAAGATTTTCAAAGCCTGCCTCCATGCTGGGATGGAAGCAATGGAGTGATTCTCCTTGTTGTTCTGGTGCATCACTCTCGGCAGGCCAAGAAGCAAACCTGCCGCCCGGGTTCGTTCACGGTTGGGGACCTCAGGTTTATGGCAGAAATGGGGGGCGGCCGGAAAAGAGCTGGGGGATGACTGACAACCGCCTGTGACGCGGGGTTCGGAGTTGGTGTCTTCTTGCTTGGGCGGGTCCGGGCTGGCAGGACATGTTGCCGGTTCGGGTTTAACTCGCGGACAAGGAAAGGGCATAACAAGACAACAGGAGGCTGACACTGGTAATGCAGGTACCATGCGCACTGTAAGACAGCCAGGGTTCCAGAACAGCTTCCGAGAAGCCTTGTATAGGGCCTAACTGCCTGGAGTCCTCAAGACTTGGATGCCCTCAGCCTCACTACACTCCTAGCTGGCCTTCTCAGCCCACGAAACCCTGAAAAAACAAACCTGAGCCAAAGGATTCCAGCTTCACACCTGCTCCACTTGATCGAGGCCCGAAGCACGTCCTGCTTGTCAGTCAAGATGGGCTCAGGGATCTTCGCTGCTGGGTTTGACCGCGCTGACTCGCATCATGGAACGTTGCGACTGCTGCGCTTCTTGTGACACTCGTTGTCATGACCACCACGACTGCTATTGCCGCTGATGATCAGCATTACTTTGCCGATCCACGGACACCGTCTCAGATGAGTTTAAAACGTCATACATGTTATTGATGCCATGGTTGCTTGGATCGCCACGGCCCGATCAGCGTGTTTATGGTGCCTATGACTCTTCTGAGAATTCTGCTTCGGTGGCCCGCGCGAATTAAGACTCCTGGCCTCAGTACATTGTTGCATATTCTAAGTCGAGTCTTCCTACATAGGAGCTGTAAGGGAATACTCTTGCGAAAGTTGAAATTTTGACTGGAGGCTGCAACTCCCTTTGCGGGCGTGGCTTGGGACTGTTTTAGGGTTTAGTGATGAATATTTCCGGCTTTAGGGCTTACGGTGTTGGGGCTTGGGTCCGGCAGGGGTGTCTTCGGCTGCGGTCCTCCTCGGAGGTCACCTCGAGAAAAGTGTTCCTAGGCTCCAGGAAAGGCATCCAAGCGTTTCGAGGCGTACGGGCTTGAGAAGTGGAGGCCAACCGCTTTGGAAAGACTGGTGCCAATGCTGGCAGAGTGATGATAGCAGCGCTGGTGGAACTGATTACGAGCAGCAGGCACTCTAAAACATAGCCCATAGCCATAGGCGTAGACATGGTATGACTAGCTGGCATTTTGCGAAGGGTCAGGAGTGTCCAGTTAATCCTGCATCTTGCTCTCGACACCGAGAATGTTGAAGGTCGTGGGTAGTGGTTGTAGGTTTAGGGTTCAGCGTTTTAGGGTTTGTGGATTCAGCTCGCCGGCTTACGCCAGCGACGTATGAACCTGCTGGCTACGCAGCGGCAATCCCGAACAAGTCAGAAGCAAGAGGCTGGCAGTGGAAGATAACCCCCAAACTTCAACCCATAAAGAGATGTCCCGGTAGTAAACTCATCACCATCGAGGCCATAAACGGGAAACATGGATCTCACGTCATGACAATGCAGTCGCGGACTCGAGGGTCAAGGGAGAATGCACGTCTGGTGCGAAGCTGTTGTGATGGAAGCTTTCAAACGATCACCAAGCACGCCTCGTACTGCGGCAAGCGCTTAGTTTTGGCGTTATGACAAACAGAAACAAGCCTTCCAAGTGCTACACCCAGATCCTACTCCCTAAGCACACATCCTACATCCTAGATCCCTGAACCCTGAGCCAAGGCACCGCAGCCGAAGGCGTTGACACCCTCCCATGCCCGAGTTTGCCATGGCGTAGGAGTGTGAGCCGAACTAGTTCTGATTGAACTGGAAAAAAACTGCAGCAGGGCCAGGAAGGACAACATGAAGAGTGACTAGCAGTAGCAGGTAGACCCACCATGGGTAAAGAAATTGCGGGAAGCAAACAAACTTAATCGCGGCAGCCGCTGATGTCATCACCATCGTCAGCACAGCCAACACCACGATCGCCTATGTCGTCAGCATCGTCACCACATTCGTCTGCACAGTCATACTGACAGTTGCCATCCTGCCGCGGCCCAAAACCTGACCAAACAGTTACCAAAAAGTCACTTCAGTTCAAAGGTCTCAAAACCTCTGAAGGGCTTCCTCGATCTTTGGCCCTCGAACCCTAACGCCCGAAGGCCTACCCTCCGATGAGTGCGGTTGCATGTTGGTCCATGGCTACCCCAATTTTCCTCTATTAGGTCGAAGGTTGAGGGTTTGGGGTCTTCGATGTCGAACCTGTCGACACCAAGGCCATGTGCCCACAAGCGTTCAAGCACTACACCCGGTAAATCTGCGGTGGCCGAGGTGGTTTCTGTTTTCGGGATTTTTAGCTAGCTGATTACTGTGTGCCTTCCCTTTGTTCACAACACATACCACTGAGCGATTTGGGCTTGGGTTCGGGCCTCCGGCTCTCCTTCTAGGGATAACGCACAGGAGCGCACAACATCTCGCAGCCATCCGAAAGGCTGCGCCGGCCGCAGGTACAGGCTTTGCATTAGGGACAGTCCCTCTGCGCCAGCAATTTTGGCGCTTTCCCTCAGTTGGCGGCTCGGCCTTCGGGTCTTCCATCCTGCACCCACTCCACACCTAACATTCTAGTGACCCTACGTGAATGCGCTTTCCAAGACCCCCACAAACGTGCATGGTTGAAAACCGGACCTAATATCTATCTATGTATGTATCTACCAATAAATAGATGTATATTTATATGTATTTGCACACTTATGTATTGGTTTAGATCAGCACCTACATTTATGTTGGTGTACTTGCTCTTCCATGTTTCTAGGTATACACGTATCTGCACATTATTCCAAGCGAGCTGCAAGGAATGCTCGCGGACAGCATCTCGACTAGAAGAACCCTGGAGCTCCCCCCCTCCGACATGCCGGGGCCCAGACGTTGACTAAGAATGCCCCAGCCCGTACGGCCGCCTGCCCCGCATCCTCAACGGTGACGGCAGGGTGAGTTATAAGGAGTCATAAGGATTTGGAGAACAAGCGGAATTGGACATTTCGCCCTAAGGCTAACCTGGGCTTACGGCTTCGTCCTAGACAGGAATCCGGAATGAAGCTAAGGGTTTCGGGCTGAGGCAACGGCGTGTCGAAAATACGTCATGTCTGTGGATCGCTGGCTTGTCAAGGCTTAAATGAGATTCCTCATCCGTAGAAAACTACCACCACTACTACTACTACTACTACTACTACTCATACTACCACTGCTACTACTACTACCACTACCATTACTACTACCAC